ATAGTAATTGACAAGTTATTTATTGTGCTTTGATACTAGACACCTATGTCCCTAGGGCGATATTTGAAAGGATATTGGGTACGATTAAATACTTGTAGAATTAGTGATTGATCAAGATGGAATCTGCCAACTCTTGGTAATGAGTTTAAGCTCCATGTTGTCATAAATTATAACCGACCAAATTAAGACCTTGGCCAGGGCGATTGAATGAAAGAAGAAAAGAGTTTCTTAGGTCATTAAATGGTCGATTATTTTTGACATGAACACATAGTCGGTCGCCTATTAGGATTTGACAGTTGAACCATATCCTAGGGTGACCCAGAGCTATAAAGACAGAAGGAATTAATACATTATTCTTCTGCAGGTTCTTGAGAGTAAATTATATACTTCATGCTATCTGGTCATTAAGGAGTGTTGTTAGACGCCACCCTTGATTAGTATATTGATGTGATCAATTTACTACCGGTTTAGTATTGAACCTATGGGGTCGCACACTAACGAGTGTCCTCATCTTTGTTAAAGGATTAATTACTTTATTATTTGATAATTAAATTAAAAAATTTAATTAGTCAAATAAATTTAGTTATTAGTCCAAATAAAATATTATTATATTTTTTGCTAGCACATAGGATATAATTAATATTGTGGACAAGTTGAAGTTTTCTATTTTAAATTAACTAAGAAAATTAAATTACATCTCTTGGTTGATATATATATGCACTTGATAATTATAATTAATATTTATAGAATTCAATTTAGAATTGAATTCCATAAATGAGTTACATGTTTTTATTTTAAAATTATGGCTAAGTTGTAGAATTGAATTCCATAAATGAGTTACATATTTTTATTTTAAAATGTTGACTAATTTGTAAAATTCAATTTAGAATTGAATTCCATAAATGAGTTACATATTTTTATTTTAAAAGTATGACTAAGTTGTAGAATTCAATTTAGAATTGAATTCCATAAATGAGTTACATATTTTTATTTTAATTGTAGAATTCAATTTAGAATTGAATTCCATAAATTAGTTACATGTTTTTTAAATATTTACCATAAAGCATGTGATTTGTATTTTCCAATGAAAATTAATTAAGAATTAGGGTGATATAGATCTTACACATATTGTAAAGTCATGTAAAAACCAAGAGAATTATTCTTGAGAAGAAAATTACTTTGAGAAAGTAATAGTGCAATACAAAGTCAAGATAGAAAATACTAGTGCAAGAAAATTATTTCTTGTTCTTCTACCTTTGAGTTGAGATTTTTGAGAAAAATTTCAACATAATATTTTCATTCAATTTGTTCGTGGGATTTCATTACTCAAAGAGTTGATAGCAAGGATCAGTCTCGGTATGGATACGCATAGCGTCTTCGTACTATCGAAGAAATTTAAAACGAGACTCTCTTCACCAAGTACGTCTTAGATCCGATCTTTGACATGCAAAATAAATTTTAAACATGAAAAGATCTACCTAGGATTGTTATTGTCTTCCGCTGCGTGTTATGAACACCTCTACGTAATCCTTCGCGGTCTAACCACCGCTTTATAGAACTTACCTTTGAGTATCGGTGACATTTTTTTGTCACACAGGACTCTAGATGTTAACCTCCACTTTATTCATCCTACCCCAATACGGTGTATGACATCCTCATCGATCTCCCCTCCCCCTCAGGATAACCGACCCAAGGTACTTGAAGCTGCCTCTACTTGATATGACCTGTGAGCCAAGCCTCACATCCACGCCCACTTCCCCCGACTCAGCGCTGAACTTACACTCCAGGTATTCCGTCTTCGTCCTGTTCAGCTTGAAACCCTTAGACTCAAGAGCCTGTCTCCAAACCTCCAGCCTTTCGTTAACACCAGCTCGCGTTTCATCAATCAAAACTATGGCATCGGCGAATAGCATGCACCATGGCACCTCCCCTTGAATATGGTGTGTTAACGCGTCCAACACAAGGGCGAATAGGAACGGACTGAGCGCAGAGCCTTGATTAGCCCCATAACAACCGGAAAATGCTCAGAGTCGCCTCCTACTGTCCTTACCCGTGTCTTAGCCCCATAATACATGTCCTTAATCGCCATAATGTAAGAAACCGATACACCTTTTGCCTCCAAGTATCTCCAGAGAACTTCTCTAGGAACCTTGTCATATGCTTTCTCTAGGTCAATAAAAACCATGTGCAGGTCCTTCTTTCTATCTCTGTATTGTTCCACCAACTGCCTAACAAGGTGTATAGCTTCTGTAGTAGAACGACCCAGCATGAACCCGAACTGGTTGTCAGAAACAGACACCGACATCCTCACCCTCGCTTCAACCACCCTCTCCCACACTTTCATGGTATGACTCAGTAATCTGATAGCCCTATAATTGTTACAACCCTGGATATCACCTTTGTTCATATACAATGGAACCACCGTACTCCACCTCCACTCATACGGCATCCTCTTCGCCTTAAGTATAACATTGAACAACCCAGTCAACCACTCCAAACCTGCTCTCCCCAGACACTTCCAAAATTCCACCGGAATCTCGTCAGGCCATGTCCCTCTGCCCCTACTCATCTTACCGGAATCTCCTTGGCATATCTGGGGTTTTTATTTTACTTAAAAGTAATTGTTATAATATTGTAATTCAATAAATTCTATATTAAATTCAGTAGCTTATCCGGTGTTGTATTTATTTGGGAAAAAAAAGTTATTTTCATTAACCAAATGATTTCCAAAATAAACTCATTTTCTCATTACTTTCCTACTTGGTTTAGAAGCTGTAGTTTTACTTTTCGATATATATACATAAAGCCTTTTGAACATCCTAATTAGCATTTGTCACGGATATTATGTACTGAGTAGCATGTGAATTTTGTCGTGCAAGGTGAGATGGAAAGATGTGGGCACAAGGTGTCATGTGTGTTAAAGGTTTGAAAGATGAGATCTATGGTATGAGATTACGAGAATTGGGATTATTGGAGTCGTGTATTAAAAACGATTTGATTGGTTGATTTGACATCATTTTTCCTACTTGAGCACATTTACCCTTATATGTATCCCAACTATGTTGTTGTCTAATTACCTGGTTATTTCTCATTTTATAGTCGTGTTTCCCTTATCGTTAATACTGTTTGTAATCTGATTTCTGTTGCTATTGGCATTTCTTTAATATTCCTTTCTTTTTAGCTTTATATCATATCCTGCACAGGTTTAGATGTTCAGTGAGTGTCTTGACCTGGCCTCGTCACTACTCTACCGAGGTTAGACTTGATACTTATTGGGTACTATCGTGGTATGCTCATATTACGCTTCTGTATATTTTTTGTGCAGAGTCAGGTACTTCGGATCGAGTAGGTTTTGAGACTCATGCTTGGTGTGCCTGGAAACTTCAAGGTACACCTGACGGGGCGTTCGCAGGCTCCGAAGTCACCCTCTAATGTATTTATTTCCATTGTTTCTTCTATTCCGGAACAGTGATGTATTCATCATGTAAAACTTCTCCTAGAAAGGCTTATGACTTGTATTACCGGTTTTGGGAATTGTAAATTTTATAGAGAATTCCATTTCTACAGTTATTAGATGTTATTTATTATTGTTATTCAATAAATGTTAGGCTTACCTACTCCCTAAGACTAGGTGCCATCATGATACCCTAACGGAGGGAAAATTGGGTCATGACAGGAGGGTAATGTGTATGCAGACCTTACCCCTATCCCAAGAGAGTAGAGAAGTTATTTCTGATAGACGATCGGCTCAAGAAAAAGAGATAATATAGGAATAATAACAGCATCATAAAAGTCAGAAAATAAATGAAAACAATAGCAATAACTAGTAAATATGCTCGGCACTATAAAACGAAAGAGTAGTGAGAACACAATATTAACCACTAGCAGTCTAAGACAAAAATTATATCAGACTAGCCTCATATAGTTACGACCCTACCCTACAACCCTAATACTCGACCTTCCTATCAAGGGCCATGTCCTCGAAAATTTGAAGTCGCGTCATGTCCTACCTGACCATCTCTCGCCAATACGGCTTAGGCCGCCCCTATCTCTTCTCGTGCCTTCCAAAGCCAGCCGCTCACACCTTCTCAATAGTGCATATGGGCTTTTCCTTTGTACGTGCTCGAACCATCTGAGTCTCGCTTCCCGCATCTTGTCATCAATGGGAGTCACGCCCAATATACAATGAATATGGAACTTATATAATCATGCCATTTTTTAAATGAAGAAATAATATGCAATATCCAACCTACTATTGATACTACTCGTGTGCACAAGTTGAAGATCATTGTATAACCAAGATTTATAATAAATAATATGCTTGTACTCGTGTGTATGAGATGTAGATCAGTATAATAACAAATACTGATCTTTGACCAAAATAATTAACTGGAAACAAGATCGAAAAATATCCTTCTCTCTGACCCTCCAAATCAATGGCGATTCCTTCACGCTACCAAATAATACAAGTTTACCTAACTGGCAATACCAAAAAAAATCAGGGGCTCCAAATTTAAAATGAGTTGTCGCGTGGTAAATTTCATGAGGCAACTTATTTGGACGCTCTCATTTAATCTATGGCTAATCTTTTTTAAAAATTAGTAGTTAAATGAACATATTTTGGATCCCCTAAAAATATAGGAGTAGATCTCTAGTAGAATAGGTACAGGTTCGCATGAACCTAGTAACTTTTGTTTAAATTCTGTTTTTGTATTAAAAAGTCCACTAATCTTCTAAGAATATTTAGCTTGGAACTTGGTTCATCAGTCCAATTATTAGTATACATTAAGTTGAGATCGTGTGAAAATACATTAAATTCCTAGATCCACATCTGACACATAGAAGGGCAAATTAGAAGGACTAAATTGCAATTTAAGGTAACTCAAATTTCAAATGACCATAATATTATCTGTCCAACGATTGTTCCTATATAACTAGACCATCGTCTCCATCCAATATTATCATATCACATTCAAAACTTCACACACAAACGAGAGAAATAAAAAGAAAGGCAAACAAGAGTCAACACAAAGTAGTCTTCTTCTTTCTTTCTTTCCTTCTTTTTCCTGAGCTTAATAATATATTAGAGATGGGGAACAGTCTAAGGTGCTGTTTGGCTTGTCTTCTTCCTTTTGGAGCTCTAGACTTGATTCGTATCGTACATTTAAATGGTCACGTTGAAGAAATTACACATCCAATCACAGCTTCTGAGGTTCTCAAGAATTACCCAAATCACATTTTAACTAAACCTTGTTCTCAAGGTATAATTCGTCGGATTTTGATCTTGTCGCCGGAATCAGAACTCAAGAGGGGAAGCATTTATTTTTTGGTCACGGCCAATTCTTCGCCGGAGAAGAAGAAAATCAACTCCAATAAAAGCGTTTCCAAAAATAAAAGCAAAAAATGTCATGTTAGCATACCTGAGATTGATCGGTATTTAAGTGACGTTACATCAGAAAAGAAGTCTTCCCGTCGAGAACGGCGGAAGGGTGCAGTTGAGGAATGGAGACCACAGCTTGCGAGTATTTCCGAGGACTAAAATGTGTGCTTCCTCTCTTTTTTTTCCGGTTTTACGCCGTTTAGATTAGCTGATCGTAAATAACCAATAAACTTGGAGTAGTGAAAAATATTTAAGTGCTGAAACGATTTTATAAAGAAAGAATTACGGCCCTTGTCACTTAGCCTAACCAAAAAAGAAACTACCAGTTATGTTCATTTATAAGTAGTTTATTACAAAAATTGGTAAATTCATAAAATATTACTAATATTAGCCAATTAGCTATTCGTAGCAAAAAAAAGGTCATTTTTTTACTTTCTTTTGAGTGAGTGTTATTAGAATAAATTTGGTACATCTTAAAGAGCTTGAATCTCAGTTTTGGGCTGGTATTTTTTTGAGGTGGTTTGAATTGAAAATTCGAAATAGAAGATGAATATGAAAAAAATGATATGTGTATCACACTATGTATCATTTGCGTATCACATATGTATCATATTTGTATCAAATGTGTATCACATGTATATCCATATATACCTTTGTGTGAGATCCATGCATGATACATGTGTCGCAGAAGAAATTTTTGACCTCGATTTTAACTGCAAATTCGAATACAAAATCAATCCAAATCACCTCCGGTCTTCCTCAAATTTTGTATATTGACTCATCTAAATGTTTTCATGAATTTCTACCATACCCATTGAAAAATGTCCTTTTTTGCTTAGATTTTTGAAATCTTGTATATATATTTTTTTTATATTTTGTCACCTTATTTGCTACCTCATCCATGAAATTTCATTTCCGTCTTGCATCTAATGTTGTTGATCACACTTAAAAATATGGAAGAAGATCTTTGCGTTAGTTCTTGAGAGAAAGAACCTTATTTACTTGGGTTTTCAATTTTTACATGTGCTTGGCTAATTTTGGTAAATCTATGATTAATGGCTAGAGGTTCGTAAGTTGAGACTTATATGGGACATTTCTGTTAGATTTCCAACCAAAAATGGCCCAGGTTTACCATTAAGACTTTCGATCGACTAATCTGGATTCGGGAATAGTAAGAATGAAGCCAATTATTTGCATTGTATAACCTTTTATATGACACTCTTTAAATTATGTTTGCCGTCAGGTTAATGGATTAAATTTCGCCTTAAAATAGATGAATATTTAGGCAATTTTAGTCCACTGGACTAATGAGGGGGGGGGAATCTGAAGTATCGTCAGAAAAGGCCATTTGTGCAAATGTCCAATTAAAGGATATAAATAACTGTTCATAACAAGCGAAACTAGTTAGCTCATATGATAGTGGGGTCAATGCTCTTCTGTTTACTTACATTTTTAAGAAGAATCAGGCAAGTTCCTCCACTGATCTCAACTCTCAAGTCAAGTAAAGATCATAGCCAATTTAGCATACACCAATATTGTAAATAAAATTTGGTGTGATACAAAACATACTATGTGCGGCTATTTGTTAAAAACTTAAAACATCCAAACAAAAAAAAAACTGCATTCTAACTAATTACACAAACTGAACTTTGTGCTTCCTAATTTCTACATACAATTCTGTAAGATTTATAATACGGAGAACCCCCGCACATAGTGGGAGCTCTATTTTTTTGGTATTGATCAAAGAGGCAAAACTACTTGAGCTGCTACCCAAAAGAGCCAAAACCAGAACGATGGCTATATTTCCCTGAACTAGAATAATAAGTGCTAGATACAGGCTTCAGGGAGTGGCTGTTCATAAACTCAGTCCCTGGTGGTATTTGTTGCACAACTAGCAATGAAAAACTATAATCCGAAGTCGCTAACATGTCTCCAATAAATCCTAGTTCTGGACATTCAATCCATTCATTAATCCCTAGTGTTAGCTCAGATTGTTTATGATCTCTACCAACTATACAAAGATCACAATTGTTCTCGAGTGAACGAAGAACCTGAGTCGTCCCCACTGCATCTTTCACCACTTCTTCTTTGTAACTCACCCTTTCTGCATCCATGTTATTATCCTTGAACCAACGTATCATATCTGACTCCACGCTGTTCTCGATATTGTCACTCGAATGTCTGAGCCAGACGAGAGTTATGCTGATATGCGGATGCTCTAGCATCCGGCTGCAGTAGGCGAGTGCCTCATCATCATCTGGACCGCCAAGGTAGAGCATTGTAACGCAAAAGAAAGAATGGCCGAACAAGATTTGTTGGTTATCGGCTAATTGACCTCGATCAACTAGGATCCCGACTGAGCAAGGTGCTTTATAGAGTACCTGTTGGTTCACCATTCTAATAGCAGGAAAATTGGCTCCTACTGTTCCATCAATCGCCCACTGCTTATGGAACGGGACGATCACAATATTGACACCTTTTTCCATCGCGATTGTACATATGTCATCGTGCATAGTTGCATAAGGAACAATGGATGTGAAGTGTTGAACAGCCACAGAACCTTGGTTTCTATGCGCGAAAATGTTGAACGCGTTTGATATATGTTCTGCTCTGCTTGGCAGAGATTTGAGTTTAGCCTTGCCTCTTCTATTATGCGTTGGCACCAGCAATGCAGCCGCGCTACCTTTGAGCTCCATTAAATTAAGAACAAATACTGAAATAGGTCTCCTTCTACTGGGATTGGAGGCTTTTAGAAGATTAACAATACTTGGGACATTATCTTCATTGTGAATACATACCTGTATCCGAAGCTCACTTGTCGGATCCAAATGCTGTATACTATTTGTTCTGTAGCCTAAGTACCTTCTTGATGGATCATATAGGTACCAAATTATGGGTCTCAAAGCTCCCGTTATCACCAACATTGTGATTAACAAAAGCGCATACGCTTCAGCTGTTATTATCTGTAGATAACCAAATAAGAGACATGTAAATAATTGAATTTTCAGGTAACCGAGCTATAACAGGTTAAAATACAATTTCTTTACATTGTTAGTGTATATAAGCACAGAAAAGAGAGGAGATAAGTTACGTACTCCATTATCCCTGAGGCCGATATACATGGATGCCTCGATAATTCCTTTGCAACACATGATGAGAGCAAGAGAAAGTGCATCTCTAAAAGGAACACCAAAATGAACTGCTGGAACAAGAGTGCCAGCAAATTTTCCAAAATAACCTAAGATGATCACTGCTTCAACGCCTAAAAGACTCTTTCCTTTTCCTATGGCGAAAATGTCCATTGCCAAACCACTAATAGCAAACTTAGCAGGAAGCAACAATCCAGCACATAAAGAATCAATTTTGTACACCAAAGATGACCCTAGAGGAGGTCCCTCCGGTACCACCATGCCCAAAATAAAAGTACCAAGAGCAGCCGGTTGTCCAAGAGACTCCGCGACAAATCCACAGATCAAAACTATCATAGCTACCACTAGAAATTGGCATTCCTTCATAGACCCTTTTTCAGGTATAGTCCTAGCAATGTGTCGCACAAATGGCCGTACTGCAAACACAACTACTATCAAGAAAATGCCTATCCATGCAATGCACAATGCTCCACTCCACTTTGAATAACTTGCTGATGAATTTACTGTAGTCCCAATTATGAAAATGACATATATACAAATGTCAGTAACCATAGAAGCCAATGTAGCTATTCGACCAATTTCTGAGTTTAGAATCTTAAGGTCGCCAAGAAGGCTGGTGATCACAGGAAAGAAAGAGGCTGAGTTAAGTACGGCTACATAAGGCAGCAAATGTGCTGTTGCTTCATCTACTACAGCCAAATGAGGTAATGTATAAGTGGCTAGACCTCCAAGTACAAAAGGCAATGCGAAACTGGACGCACCAATTAGCATCGCATTTCTCCCCGCTCTTTTCACCATTGTTGGATCTACATGAATTCCAAGAACAAAAAGATGAAACATGAAAGCAAGATCTGCAACTGTTTGTAGTACCATTCTTCCTCTTGGTGGAAACATTAAGGCCGCAAACGCTCTGTTACGACATAAGCCTGATTGCCCCATGAAAACACCAGCCTGTTTTAAACCAACAATAATGATAGCATGAAGATTGTAACACAGGTAATCAGAGGCGGTAATAACGCGTTAAATGAACCCAATATTTTCGACACTAAACATAGATATTTACATGAATAATTACTAAATATGTCAACAAGTATTAAAGGTTGAATGCATAATTTCTAAGAACTTTAAAGATTGATCCATCAAGTTTAAGTCATAAATCCATTTCTATAAGTAACAGACAGAGGCGAACCCAGGATTTGAAGGTTGCGGATGCACTTTTGGATTCAACCAAAATATGCTATGTATATAGGGTGCCCCTACTAATATATCACTATTTTCTAATGACATATGTATGTATAAATGAAATTTTTACCGAACTTTCCGGGTGCCGGTGACCCCTCTCTGTATAGCATAACAGAATTATCAGGTACTCAGAGGCGGGTGTGTATGTGTGCGCGCAAAAAAAATTATTGAAATTTCAAGACATCAAAATTTTCAAAAGGGTATTGGACAAGAATTAAAAACTTAAAGATTGAACCTATCAAATTTAAATCCTGAATTTATCTCTAACAATAATGATAGTATCAATGTTGCAACACGATTAATAGAATTATTAGGTGTTGATCATAATAATGTAGAGAATAAAGGAGCTTACAATAAGTTGTGCACTGACCATACTTTGTTTAAGAGGTCTGATGAGGAAAAAAGTAATTCTGGTGACAAAGAAAATGAAAATCAATTGTGCCAACACCAGTGGTAAACTGAAAGCGAAAGGGTCACCTCCAGACCATAAACATCCTTTGGAATTGACCATATCTGAAAATTGACATATAAATAATTCTTGACGATATCGACCTTGGACTACTCCTATTGAATCTGACACTCTTCGTTTTACCATTTTTGATACAAAAACTACTGATTAAAGAAGCAAATGAAAAAAGAGGATGGTTTGGTGAAGAATTTACTCTAATAATTGAAATGGAAAGCATGGAAAGGAATTTTGGTGAAACAATTAGTGTTAGTGTTCGTTCAGATTGTTAGACATTAACGTAAGTTTGATATGCTAGATAGAAATGTGGATAATTCATCATATATCCATCATATTAGGCTAGTTTTAAGGATTGCTTCCCTCTCAAACACCCTCATTTTCAATGGTTCTGCTTTTCTCTATATATCTCTTCCTTTTATTGTTCTTTTGTCTTGTTTTTTGTTAACTTTTATTATCTCCCTGGAGCAACACAAAATGTTTTATGCTAGAGCATAGTGTGATTGAGAGAACCAACAAAGGTTGTGGTGGAGTGCTAAGTACTCTTTCATATTGACGGGTTCGAGTCCTGGGTATGAAGTCGCCTTTATTAGAAAGTTTTATCCCCAATGTGGGACTTTCCGAGGCGAATTCGGATTTAGTCGGGCCCCAATGAAGCCGGACACCGGATGGGAATCAATAAAATAGAGTGATTGAGAGAAACTTTTCCTATCTTGAAAGTTGAACCTCGCAGCACCCAAGGGTAGTGGTATATGCAAGATATTTCATTCATGGTGTCATAATTTGAAGAAATGGACAAATAATTAAATTACCGTAATGGCAAGCGATGTCATTCTTTTTATATTTATCCTTAATATTTTTATTTTTTTTATACATATCTAGTAAAAAATTCTAACAAAGTGATGTCAAGTGAAACCGCACAAAACAAGGTGTACACGCCCTGCCCAAGGGTGTGAGTTAATTAGCGGTAAAGTGGGTAAAAATTTTAAAGTAATTTTTGTTTCACTGTACCTAAACCTTGGTGGGTAGAGTTACTTTATACTTATTCTAGTGAGTAATAAAATTACCGATAAAATAATCGAGATGCATACGACCAAGGTAAAACCATTATCACAAAACTCGAACCTCTTATTCCTTTTTTAATTGTTGCAAACAACTTTCCGTCAAGAAAAATTAATACGCGGTAAATAAACGTATGTATTCAATGAGGGAAAAATGGAGTCTAAATATACATTTTTACCTTAAACTAGGCCATTTATTGATATGGTTACAGGATAGTCCAAATTTTTAATACTAACATAAGATGATACGACCTTGTTAGGTTTTTGCGTAAATTACCTTGGAGATCATCCTCAAGTTAATTCTTCCAAAAACATTTTCTGAAAACTTCTTAAAATTAAAGAAATGGTCCTTAAAAATCTTTTTGCAAGATTTTGAAAAATCCCCCACCGACAGATACCTCCAAAATTTAATCAAGAAGTTGCAAGACCTAATTTAGGAACACTCCGCAAGTTAAAAGAAACTAACGACTTAGTATGATGATTATTTAGTACGGGCAAACCCAGTTGTACAGAATGATGGTGTTCTCTCACAATCTAGATACAAATCTTAAATTCCGATTCAGATACATTTAATTTCCTCAACGGAAAAAAAGGTTACATGTAACCTAGACCCACTGAACTAACTTATGACCTCCATGGTACCATCATTTTATCGAAAGGACGAACAGCAGAAAAACACTCTGGGAACTTCTCCTGGTATGGAGTATGGAAAGAATGAAACATCCACTACAGCTTTCCATCAGAGGGAGTATGGACAAGCTTTCTCCACACCTGATCTCACATCCAATTCAACAGCTCTATTCCTTCCCCAATAGGAATGTCATTACTAATTTGGCGATCGGATCTCAGTATACAAGGACAGCACAACTATGAGGTCATACGGAGGGAAATAATATTATCGGAAAGCTGCCTACTTGAGAAGTCTATCCTAAACATTCTTCCACAGAAGAAAAACTGGACTAGCAGGCACACAAGCAGAAAATAACAGCTCAAGTAGTTACGTGACATCATAGTCAACGGAATCATTATATCAGGCTTCATGCCAAGATGCAGCAATCACCTATAGAGAAGAAAACATCATTCAGCTAGAATTACCAGAGCATTTTGGTTTTCACAGTAGTACCACTCACCTGAATATTTTCACCTACCTTAGCAGCAATTTGCAGAATATCCAGTAGCCTCTATCAAAACATTCAACAAATCAAAAAAAGGACTTGAACACCCCATCCCTTCCTACACCCCAAGAAGGAGAAAGAAAGGAGAAAAAGCATATATTGCTCAAAGTGCAAATGAGTGATCAACCTACCTCCTAGTCACAGAGTATATCTTGAAATGGAACTAATAAAAAACCCTCCCACCACAAATTTTAGTACATAAGATGCTTGGCTGAAACTCAGTAAGGACGTGAACGGTTTCCTCCATGAGACTGTCTATCTGGGCCAGAACCTCCACCGTCTCTGTAGTTATCCCTGCGGCCGCCGCCACCATAACCCCCTCGACCGCCACGTCTATCAATGGATAGAAAAAGGCTCAGCATAAGAGATACATTAACTCTCCCGTTAGCACAGGCTCAAAAAGTTCAGAATATAGTAAACATCCCCAACCATCTCTATACAATTAACACAGTTTTACTGTATATTATTTTCTTTTTAGAAAGAAAAATGGAACTATATATTTTCAATTCAAACCAATAGACTAGACAAAAAATGGAACTATATATGTTCCATTCATAGTGTATAAGAAAATAACATGCTTGAGGGAGGTAGAAATGCAGAGGGCATTCAGCATGCAGGTTTCAATTAGCAAAGGTGGATGAAAATGATTAAAACACTAATACAGTAAGCACAATGAAATAATCTGATACATAGAAGTTTACAGTTTTACTTCAATATGCACATAGTTGATCGAGATGAGCATAAAACTTTGGTAGCAGTGAAGTCACAAGATTAAGATAAAACTGGTTCACATGCACCCCCCAAAAGGGACAGGCTGTAGTACGAATTAATGAAACGTGTTTTGATTGATCAGTTGTCATACTTTGGAACGAAATCACATATCAATTGAGAATTTCAGCCATGCAGCTTCAGAATGAAATTTGACACAGCAATGATAGTTAAATGTTAGATGCAAGAACCACAAGTTGACGACTCTGCTCTTCTAATTAAGTAGAGAATCAAATACAGAGAATTGTGTCAAATAACCATATGTCGACAATCTAGTTACACACTTGCTAACTCTGTATACATGCCACAACAGCATAACCACGACATTTTACGAGTTAACATAAGTTATGAACGGTGACAAACTGGATGTCATATGCAATGGAGAAAGAGTGCAACAATTAAATAAGGCTTACCCAGAACCAAAAGCTGGAGCAGGCTTTGGTGCAGACTTTTCAGCCATCGCAACACTGATTTTGTAACCTCTGAAGTCGTGATCTGATGATCATAATTTATGGTCAGCATGTAAATTATTTACTGCATTAACTCAAATGAATAAATTTGGGTCTAGTTTTTACTATTGAAAAAGCCACCCGCAGAATGCGCTGCAGAAGGGTCTTCATATGACAAAACAGCATCTCCTTTGTTTTTCCCCTGTTCATCTGTGTATAACTTTATGCTCCAAGGCCACTGGTCTTTGTAGCCTCGTTTTTGCTTGATTCTTGCCACCTACACATTTACGAGAGACCAATTAAGCGTTAACCCTGGTATATATAATAACAGTCTCACAAAAGTAAAACTACTTCATAATCAGAATTCAAGGGCAATATTTCATTGGTCAGCAAAATCAAGCAAATCAGAATAATGGTTATTGGGTTGTCTTTTTGTCTACCACAGTGAACACAGCAAGAAATCATGTGAATTGTGAAGTACAAGAAAAACTAGGTATATGCTGCAATACGAAATGAATCTGATACTGAGAATCATAACCGAAAGAAATCTGCATATTACTTGTCCAATGCTCCCAAAAAGTTCTCTAAGTTCTTCAATGGTCACATCAGGAGGCAAATTTGAGATATATATTCTTGCGTTGTCACAGAAATCTCCACAGTTCTCATCACATTGCTTGACCTTTTCCGGAGCCTCAGCTGGGGAACTATCATAACCACCTGCATTCCTGGGACCACCGCCATATCCCCCATCATATCCTCCCGGTGGGCCACCCCTTCCACCCCCACGGGCATTGGCTGGTGTATCCCCACCATAGCCACCAGGGGCACCATATGAAGGGGGATAAGATGCAGGTCCACCAACATAACTCGTGGGCGGGGGGACGGCATCAGGGTTCCGACCATAAGTATTAGATGGTGGTGGATAGTTGCTATCAGCTGCCCCATAAGATGGAGGAGCATGTGGAGGACCTTGAGCATAACCACCACCATCTCTTCCCTGACTACCACCATAAGAACCTGTTCTACCACCTCCAGCATTTCTGTCATCATAGTTGTCGCCTCTTCCCCCTCGACTATTTCCATATCCCCCACCACTTCCACCTCTGTTATAACCGCTACCACCTCTGCCACCACGATCGTCAGAACCAGCAGGTGAAGGTGCACCACATTTGTTACATTCAACTCTTCTAGCAAAGTTCAAATTTCCACAGCTACACCCAGACATGCCAGAATTAATAACAATTGACAAGAAACAAGAACAAACACAATAACATATTTCAAATGAAATATTATAAAATGTAACCCAAAATACATAACCTTGAAACAACCACCGCACTGAACTAACAATTTGTTGAATTGACAAGATATACGCATCATTAGAATTATATAATAATGAAAGTAAAGAGAATCAAAACAAATTTTCTCAGTGAACCTGCACAGGGAAGCACCAGTTATCTTAAGCAAAATTGCTGGACCATTCAGTAGCAGGATTTCATACAAGTAATGACATGAGAGAATATATAGTAACTCATATATTTCTAGTCGCATAATCTAGAAAAGACTCAGGTTATAACTTGAAAACACAATCAGAAGACATGTATATCAAAAAGAAATGGTGTTCAAGGAAAGGATCCAGATTCCTCACAGCTTGGCAAAGCAAATACTATAGTATCTAAAATTGCTACTTCAATAACATGATTGTCCGGAAAGTAACTTCAGTTTTTGCTCAAAAAGATTGCACAAACAAAAGCCACCTAGCTCCATGTAATTGGCTTAGGTTCAGGGATAGAAGCAAATATAATCTTTTTTTTCTGGTATGGAATTAAACAAAAGTTTCACAAGGTCGAGGGGAGAAATTAGTTGTGAATCGAGGGGAGAAATTAGTAAAGATGAGTTAACATGACCTTAATATCCACGAAAAGGACGTGAGAATATTACCTAGGGTTAGGGCAACGCCAATCACCTTCCTTACCACTTCCTCCACCGCGACCGCCACCGCGACCTCCAGGATCTCCTCCTCCTTGGTATCCACCGCCGCCACCTCCTGTGAATAGAGTCATCATATGAATTAAATTAAAACTCATTCAAAATACACAGATAGTTTACAAAACATAACAATTTATTCAAATATAAGATACCTCGACTATTTGAACTACCACCGTATCCTCCTCCACCTCCTCTACCACCACCACCTCTACCACCTCCGCCACCGTATGACCCTCCGCTGCCTCCGTAACCGCCACTTGCACCGCCATATCCTCCACCACCTGATCCATACCCGCCGCCTCCAGAACCACCGTAACCACCGCCGCCTCCACCACCAGAAGGCGGAGCAGATCCGCCGCCTTCGTACCCGTACGTGCCGGCCATCGTTTACACTAAAGCTAGGGTTTCTGAATGAAAGAGGAAAAAGATAAAAGTGAGTTAAAGACCGGGCGACAAATGGGAGTCAATGTTATATATGCCTTGTAGAGGAGAGATATTTTTCTTATGGATCTTTGTCCACGTCTCCAGCTGATCACTTTGATTGCTTTCCTTATTAATTTCTTTACATTTTTCTTTAAGTAGATAGATGCACCAATTAACCAACTAATCGAAATTAGCAGCAATACTCTCTCGCTTTTAAAATGCGATTGAAGACTCCTTAATTAAGTTTCTTATATCTTCTATGTATTTTTAATTTTACACAATTGATTGCGCAAATAAATATAGTTGTGTTTACTAGAAAAATCGGATAACGTTAGATTTTGTGTGTGGTTCTAAGGATATGCGATACAATTCGATATAAATAGTGTTGGGAAATAGAGATACGTATATTCTTGACTATGAGAATGGAAATATTGAGCAAAAGAATGAATAAGGTAAAATAAAACAAGTATGAAAACTATCTTTCAATATGAGAAGTGATCTTTTGTTATAATGCATTTTGCCCTTTAGCTTACAAGGATTCTCCTTTTTATAGAAGAGGGTTATTATAAAAAACAATAAAATAAAATATATAGTGGAAGGCCCATGATGACCTCTCTCTTCCTTGATTTCTGTCAAGATTCTCTCTCTTGGTGCGGTCGCAACGGCTCTTGTCCGTGAGCTCGATACTGGCTCGAGTTCGTTACTGGGTTGGGCCTTTCGGTCTTGGCACGAGTCCGACCTTCGAGATGGGCGTCGCGCATTTCTGACCTCGAAGTAGTGCCTTGCGGATCGATTCGGCCATGGGCTCGATAGGGTTATCGAGTCGACCCTTCGATCGACCTTCGGGCTCGAGGCTCGTTAATACCGACTTCGAAGCTCACTTTCGAAAATGTAATTCCGACTTTTTAACACTCGAACTCGATCGAACGTAGGAAGGCCGAAATCTATTTCGACCGTATACAGATAGTCCCCTCGTTTCTCACGAAGGATGAGGTGAGAATCGACGTGATTTTTGATGGTTCGACCGGGTCGCAAGCCGACGTTTTCACAGGGATCGATTATGACGTAGTTGTCCTATCGATTCAGCCTTTCAAGGTATTTAATGTTTGTCAGATGGCGGTCGTCCACCTGTGATATTGAATCGTCACGGTGTGAGCCTATAAATAGCTCTTCCATCTATCATTTACTTCTTTCATGCGTTCACTCCCCCAAATTTTCTTATCTTTTCTTCCTTTCTTATAGCTACCGGAGTTTTGGTGCCGTCTATTTTTCATTTTCCTTTGTCTTTCTTCCTCTCATATCAATGGCCAAGACTTCGAAAACTGTGCCTCAGAAGGAGAAAGATTCTTCTTCACGGCCGTCCGGCGACAAGACGCCGGTGGAGCCATCCACCTATGACTATATCCCCGACCCGTGTATTCTAAAGATCGATTTTAAGGTTGAGAATCCCTCATCTGTCCCGGGTCGATGCAAGCACGTGTCGATGTATATGTGCTCTATAACGGAGAGTCATCTCGAGGCCGTTAGAAAAGACTATAACTGGGGTTACGAAGTTGTGTTGCAAATTCCATCCCCCGAAGAGAGTGTCGTCACCCATGTGGAGGGGTTTTTAAGTGTTTACACTTATCCCTTCACATTGGGTCCGGTTGACTCGGTGATCATCGATTTTTGCAAGAGATATCAGGTCACCCTTGGTCAGATTCATCCCTCTGTGTGGCGTATAGTGATCCTACTTTGCTTTTTCTCCACCAAAGCCGAGAGGCTGGATTTTACCCTGAATCACCTCATTCGGTTGTATCGGCCTCAAATCTTCCGAGGATTAATCAGACTTCATCGTCGGGCATCGAAGGCTTTGATGCCGAGCATCGACGAAGACAAGGATCGGGGTTGGATGGGGCATTACATCCGGGTGAGGACCCGTGACCTTATTCCGGAAGAGAAGATGTCGTTCCCCAAGGAATGGAATTTCGATCGTAAGTTATTTTCATAGATTTTTTTTTTATGTTTCTTCCTCATATACAGCTGCCCCTTGGATGCCACAAGCGGTGCCCGACCTTGAGGATTGGGTTCAGAAGTTAACCTCGACTTCCTCTTATGCCGAACGCGCTTGGCGTGATTTGGCTAAAGGCAAATGAGAAGCCAAGAACCATGGTAAGGTTTTACTTCTCGTTTCCTTCGAAGCACTCTCTGTATTCCATTCGTTACCGATTTCCTATCATGCAGGCGTAACCAAGGATGTTGTTTTGAGGCCTTCTAGCGGTGAAGAAGAAACCAAGTCCCCAGTCCCGAAACCGGGGAAAGACAAGAAGCGCAAAGCTGCCTCTCGATCAGAGGGCCCCAAGCCCGAAACTCGGAGGGTGAAGAGGAAAGCAAATGCCCTTTCAATTGACTCGGTCCAACGACTGAGAGAAGAAGAAGAAGAAGAAGAAGAAGAAGAAGAAGAAGAAGAAGAAGAAGAAGAAGAAGAAGAAGAAGAAGAAGAAAAAAAAAAGAGGAAGAAGAAGATGACTCGGCCTTGGTGTCCCGATCTGCCAGAGCTATCGAGGTCACCGAAGCTCCTGAACCGATAGCAGTTGTACCGGTCGGGGTTGATTCCGGGATCCCGAGTCTTGATCGGAACGCCCCGAGTGATTCACTTGGGACTATGATAGTGGGTCATTCGCCTTCTCTTCCCACCTTTTTCTGAGGAGGCGTTAAAGGAAGCTCGAGAATTGAAGACCCCCCGATATAGGCGGAGGCTCTAGTGTAGGGGATCCCTTTTGGGATTGCTTTACCAGAGTCGGTGATGCTTCCGATATCGAGGATGCTTCTCTTTTACTGGAAGAGGCCCAACGTTTCATTACTCGGGTAATGATTTTACTATACTTGGTTTCTTTGTTTTTTTCAAATTTGACTCGTGTTCTTTCCCTATTGTGCAGGCCATTAGTAGATTTTGGGTCGACCTTGGCCAGTGTGAGGTCGAGCTTCAGAAGGTCTCGGGGGAGAGAGACGTCTTGCGGCTTCTTTGCAGGCAAAAAGATGAGGCTATAAAGGACCTTCAAGCGGATTTGGCTAAGGCTCACGAAGAAGAGGCTGAACTTGACAAGCAGGTGAGCCTCGTTCTGTTAAAGTATGGGTTTGATTCGACTGTAGAAGTTAACCCTTCGTTGTCTCAGCTGCAGCATAAGGTTGAAATGATCGGGTCACTTCGGGAAAAAGTCGATCAAATCAAAGCCGAATGTAATCGGTGGAAGGAGACTATCGATCGCCTGGCTGCGGAAAAGGAGACCATTTTGACCAACTTATTATTGGCCGATGTCAGCTTCGAAACGTCAAGCAAAAGAGTTCGGCTCAAGCTAAGAGGATCGAGGAGCTTGAAGCCTAGCTTGCCGAGGCCAAGGCCGAGGTTGAGTCGTCTAAAATCTTGGCGGATAAGTCCATTACGGTGTATCGGGCTGATGCCGAGGCTGCTCAGATTGAGGCACGAAAGGCGGCGGATACTGCCGACACTCGAGCACACTAGATTGCCGAACTTACCAAATATAGGTCTCGGAGGGAGACCCTCGAGGAGATACATGTTTGGGGTCTCGACCTTACTGAAGGAATAAAAAAGGCTAAAGAGCTCGAAGCCGAAGTCGAAGCCTTGGTTTCTGATAGCGATGATGATGACGATAGCGGTAGCAAGAGCGGATCCGAGGGTGATTAGGAAGATTAGTCCATAGTTATGTTTGTAATCATGTAGAAATTTTTGTATATAGACAACTTTGGCCGATTTGTGCAGACTTTATGCGTGCCTTTATAAATGTTTTCACAAGGATCTTAACAATTCAATCAAACTTGGACTTTGTAGTCTATATTATTGATTCGTTCAAAGTGACGTAGCCTTTGGGCTTACTAGTTGAGTTAGTGATTCGATCTTGAGGAAATATAATCCGTAGGCATAATAGTTGAGTTGTGCTTCGCTTGAACTTGAAGTGAAAGTAACCCGTAGGCTTTAATCGTCGAGTGAATGATTCGAACTCGAAGAAATATAGCCCGAGGGTGCGATGGTCGAGAGAGTGATTGCTTGAACTCGAAATAAAAGTAGCTAGTAGGTTTTAGTCGTCGAGTGAATGATTCGAACTCGAGGTAATATAGCCCGTAAGCGTAATGGTCGAGTAAGTGATTGCTCGAACTCAAAATAAAATTAGCCCGTAGGCTTTTGTCGTCGAGTGAATTATTCAAACTCGAGGTAATGTAGCCCGTGGGCGTGATGGTCGAGTGAGTAATTGCTCGAACTCGAAATAAAAGTAGCCCGTAGGTTTAGTCATCGAGTGAATGATTCGAACTCGAGGTAATATAGCCCGTGGGCGTGATGGTCGAGTGAGTGATTGCTCGAACTCGAAACAAAAGTAGCCCGTAGGCTTTAGTCGTCGAGTGAATGATTCGAACTCGAGATACTGTAGCCTGTGGGCGTGATGGTCGAGTGAGTGATTGCTCGAACTAGAAACAAAAGTAGCTCATAGGCTTTAGTCGTCGAGTAAATGATTCGAACTCGAGGTAATGTAGCCCGTGGACGTGATGGTCGAGTGAGTGATTGCTCGAACTCGAAACAAAAGTAGCCCATAGGCTTTAGTCGTCGAGTGAATGATTCGAACTCGAGGTAATGTAGCCCATGGGCGTGATGGTTGAGTGAGTGATTGCTCGAACTCGAAACAAAAGTAGCCCGTAGGCTTTAGTCATCGAGTGAATGATTCGAACTCGAGGTAATGTAGCCCGTGGGCGTGATGGTCGAGTGAGTGATTGCTCGAACTTGAAACAAAAATAGCCCGTAGGCTTTAGTCATCGAGTGAATGATTCGAACTCGAGGTAATGTAGCCCGCAGGCGTGATGGTCGATTTTAACTTGATTCTGTTTGCATAATAAATAGAGGAATTTTTCTTGGCTATAAGATGCCGATAAAGAAGAGAACTTTCTTCGCACATTATTACATGCTTGGGTTCGGGCCAATCTATATGAGCATGGTTCGTTTCGACCATTTGGCTCTTACAATTTTTCCTATTGGAACCCTATTGTTGTGAAATAACTCTCTTGTGAGGCCTCAGATATTGTTGCAAATGCAACATGAT